ACTTGAGTATATTTTCATCGAAATATTTCAAGAATGGTCTGTTTGCTTTGTTACAGCTATCCTGAGTATTTTGGTTTTAGATTGAAGGTGTTTTTATCTTGTTTCAACCAAGATTCCTATCAGGTGACTAAAGTAACACTTTGTGTTGTTCACCTGACATTTATCATTTCCAAGTGAACTGTTTACACACAAGTGAATTTTTCAAATGCTTAAAGCTTACATTTTTCATTTATTCATTGTTTCATTCCTTCAAGGAGCATATTTCAAGCACTTACCAATACTAGGCAATATGCTAAGTACTCAGACAGACAGATAAGACACAGCTCTGTTTTTTGAGTAGTCCATAGTCTAGTAAGGGCGTAGTTGCCCTTCAATTCAGTACATGCTGTGGTGAAACTTGAGTTGTAGTAGAAGCCAACACTGGAGATCAAGGACACTTTCTTGACATTTTAAAGGATGACATTAATTAGCCAGATGAAATAGGAGGAGATGGACAAGATGTTATAACAAAAATGAGCAGGTTGTTACCAAAGGAATATGGCACTTTTGAGGTACTACAAGGAGCTCAAGGCAACTGGAGTGTAAAATAAAATGGAACCAGTGGAGAGAGTTGAGCAGTAGGCCTAGAAGCCATCATGAAGGCCCTCATATGCCATGTTTGTGTGTTTTCAGGGCACTCTTAGAGGGTTTTTAGGCATGAGAGCAATCACTTTGTCAGCATTATAGACAATGGATTAAAGTAGCTGGGCAACTGTGTGAGAAATCCACTTAATCTAATCCGGAAATGAGGACAGTGGTCACAGAGCTAGAGTGGAATGTATGAATTGGAGAGCTATAAAGGAAGTGAATCAACAAACTTTATCAACAGATGGGTATGAGGTTAAAAGAGATTAGGTGTTGATTGAAGTGATGAATAAAACATAAACCTTTACCTACACAGACCTGACAATATAGGCATGTACAAAAAAATGATAATATAATTAAGCCACAATTTGTGTCCTTACTGAGCAGAAGTTTGTGTGTCTACTTGCCAAGTGTCTTGGAAGCATTACTGTAGATTAACAATCCAATAAGTGATCATTGGCAAAGGAATAGTACATGTGAGGATTAAATACTAAATAGCTCCAGTGTATCACACTCTTGAATTCTCAAAAAGAGAACCAAATAAATTGGAAAGAAACCAATACTAGACGTTTGGAAATTTTTCAAATAAAGTATGTTTTCCTCTGGCTCAATCCTTACAGCTATTGTGCAACAGCCCAACTTTAGCTGTCATGCCAATGCCTCTAAAAACTTCCATTTCCTGGCAGAGCTTAACTGGCAGTGTTTGTTATCTCTGGTCGAAATCACAGTGATACAATACATTTACACGGTGCATTAGTCTCACCGGCTCCTCCCACTGTGCAAATAGCTCCATAAGTGAACATTTAACACTTGGAAAGGCAACAAATATTTTTGCTTATTATGTGTCACTGTAACATAGTTGAAGTTATTTTCCATATTAACAAATGATTCATGTGCCTTTAAAAATATCTAATGGACCATAACCTAGGACATAACAGTCTCTTATTGAATCTAGCCAATATTCTTATGAAATAGCTCCGTATTTCCATAAAGCCACTGGCAAGTGATAGCAGCCCATTTTTGCAGTTAAGAAAAGTGAAATAGCAACTTAGATGTATCATCTAAAGCCTCCTTGTCCAATAATATTTTTCTTATATATGCTGTTTCCAAAATAATATGGCTCAAAATAAAACAAGCATATTCACATGTCAGATAACAAGTTTATGTAATCCTTTAGTTACAGATGCAGTTGCAAAAGGAGGTGGAAGGCATCCAAAACACAATATTATAATTTTTTTTTTTTTTTTTTGAGACGGAGTCTTGCTCTGTCGCCCAGGCTGGAGTGCAGTGGCGGGATCTCAGCTCACTGCAAGCTCCGCCTCCCGGGTTTACGCCATTCTCCTGCCTCAGCCTCCCGAGTAGCTGGGACTACAGGCGCCCGCCACCTCGCCCAGCTAGTTTTTTTTTATTTTTTTAGTAGAGACGGGGTTTCACCATGTTAGCCAGGATGGTCTTGATCTGCTGACCTCGTGATCCGCCCGTCTCGGCCTCCCAAAGTGCTGGGATTACAGGCTTGAGCCACCACGCCCGGCCTAATATTATAATTTTTATAAAATGAGATATAGGACTGGGAAACAGTCCAAGATGCGTCTAGACAATAATAGCCTCCCCTAATTGGAGTGATAGTATTCATTAGATTTATTAATATCCACTGAAATACAAAATGAAATAAGAAACACAGTTCATACCTTGGCTTAATAAGTGGCAGAAAAACAGTATTTGTCTGCATTTGTTCCATTAATAGCTTTATACTGGTAGTAACCAGAAGAAACTCCTAGATAGGCTGTACAAGTGGTTTTCTAGCTTCTTTTAAAAAGGAACTACTGGGTAGATACCTAAGATATATTAAATTTATTAAATAATTTATTAATGTCAGAAATTCAAGTATAAATCATTTTTAACATTAAGACCAACTCCTGTTCATTACAAGGGCCTGACCAACTGTCTTAGTAGAAAGTACTATAGGCTCAGTAGCTTATAAACAACATAAATTTATTTCTCACAGTTCTGGTGACTGGGAAGTCTGAGATCAAGGCCCCAATGAATTAGGCCTCTGGTGAGGGCCTGTTTCCTGATTTATAGATGGTACCATCTTGCTATGTCCTCACCTAATGGAAAGGGAAAGGCAGCTCTCTAGGGCCTCTTTTTATTAGGGCATGAATCCCATTAATGAGGGCCCCACCCTCATGACCTAATCACTCCCCCGCCACGCCTCCCAATACCATCACATTGGTAATTAGGTTTCAACATATGAATTTTATGGAGAGACAAACATTCGGACCATAACAACAACATTCCTAAAACTACCATTGTAGGCCAGGGGCAGTGGCTCACACCTGTAATCCTAGCACTTTGGGAGCCTGAGGTGAGAGAATTGCTTGAGGCCAGGAGTTCAAGACCTGCCTGGGCAACATAGTGAGACCTCATCTCTACAAAAAATTTAAAAATTGACGGGTGGTAGAGCAAGACATTGTCTAAAAAAAAAAAAACAAAAACAAAAAACACACCATTGCAGGCTAGTCAGCCATTATTAGGTTGTGGAATCTACCAGAAATCCAGGGTCTTAAACTTTTTTGCTGAGTTCTGAAGATAATACCACCGTGCATCATATTTTTCAAGTAACCTGTAGGAAATGCCTTGTAGAACCCAAACTGAAAACTAATATATAACTCTTTATGTTGTGAAGGTGGTCCTAATGAAATCTAACGATCCCCAAAAGTATCTTCCATGCCTGTCTCATACCTTTAGCAAGTGACATCACATTAAATTTGTCAAAATCAATCTTTAATACCTTATTTAGAATTATGCAGCTATAGAAGGAACATGGAAGAAATTACAGAGCTGTGCTGCCCAATATGGCTAGCTACTAGCTACATGTGGCTGTTTAAATTTAATTGAACTTAAATTGAAAATATAGGTCCTCACTTAAACTAGCCACATTTACAGTTCACAATAGCCACATTTAAGTAGTGGCTACCATGTTGACAACACAGATGTAGAACTATGTAGAACATTTGAAAATACTGTCTAGAAAGTACTGATACAAAAAGCATTTTAGTTGATAATGGCTTATATATTTATATAAAAATGCCTATATGATGACTTCTCAAGAGAAAAGATTGTTTATAACTAGATCCTATAATTTTATTTCATTGTGCCAGGAAAGTAGCTTTTAAATTTATAAATTCTGCTTTTTTCCCTTAAACTCCTACCCTAAAAGACTTCCAAATGTAGAACTTCTGAAGGCTGCATATGATATAGAGCTACTTCAGGATTCCCAGAGTTTGGAAAAATGATTTCTGAAAGCACTATATGAGATAAAATTTTCAAGTATGACAACTTTACTTTTTCTGACCCATCTTGTGCTGCTCTTCTACATATTTTGCTCATTAGTACCTTCTTCACAATGT